GAGGTCCCAGCGTTGTTACAGAGTCACGAAAGGAGGCATTAAGCGCATATATCAAACGGTGAGGCTGTTGTTTCCAGATGGATCCTCAATCCGGGTCTGCGCACCTCTGAAGGCAGTGTTCCCATTTCTCTATGATCCCCCTCCCCCCACAATCCTGCATGCTTCCATCTACACCCCGTCAGAGCAGCAGCTCAGGCAGCTCCCAGGGCCTCAAAGAGTGCTCCCTTCCAGTGTGTTCTTTGAGTTTGGGGACCAAGAAGTGGTCTGAGGGGCCGAGGTCAGGGCTGCAGTGTGGACAAAGCGAGTCTCTCCAGGGACATTCTCCCGGGGGCCCCCAGGCTGCCCTCGGAACGAGCAGGTGCAGGTCCCTTGGGAACCAGCATTCCTCGGTGCCCCCTCCTGGCCTTTTCATTTTCTTCAAAGTTCTTCCTAATAGGCCCCCAGGATCATCTTCAAGAAAATCAATAAGGCGCTCCCTTTAGAATCCCCAAAATGAGTTCCCCTAAGTTTCTGAGCTGCCCCCTCTGTCTTGAGGTGACCTGGCCCAGCAGATCCCTCGGGAAGCTGCTGTTTGGATTGGTGTCCCGTCCCTGCCCCTTTCCCTTTTGAAGACCACCTAATGCAGTGCTTCTCAACCTTCCTAATGCCGTGACCCTTTAACACAGTTCCTCATGTTGTAGTGACACCCCCCCCCTAATAAAATTATTTTCATTGCTACTTCATCCATGTCATTTTGCTGCTGATATGAATCGGACAACCCCTGTGAAAGGGTCATTCAGCCCCCCCAAAGGGGTCGTGACCCACAGGTTGAGAACCACTGCCCTAATGAGACCAAGACACATGTTTTGCTGACAGAACTTGTCTGCAGCCACCTCAGACTGCAGAGACGTCTTTAAACATGTGTGGGATAGGCCTATGCATGTGGGAACCAGGCCCTGGGAGCTGGGCCTTTTGATGGACCCTCCCCGGGAGGGCCCTTCCACAACTCCCTCCTTCCCGGAAAACATGAGGAACGTTTTCTCTGACTCTGTTCCTTGCTACCCGCCCCCTTGCTTTGGCAACTTTGTTGCTGCCCAGCGGGCTCTGCCACCAGTCCTTCTTATGCGGTTCTGGGGCAGAGGGGGTCTCGGGTCCACTGCCTCCCTGACCTCGTGTGCTGGTTCATGCTGGTCTCAGTTCCCAAGGGATGGCTGAGGGTGGTGCCTGCTCTCGGTACCCGGGTCATCAGGGAACACAGGGGAAGGCCACAGGGTGAAGGAAGCAAGCGAGGTAATCACGTGAAGTGCCAGGAGGCCGTCCCTCACTTCCTGCGTTATTTTATTCATTGATCAATTCACCACTTAAGGAACGTATGCCAGGCTGCGACGCTGAAAGTCGTCTGTGGTCTGAACCCCAGTCCCGAATGTGACACACATAGACGCACGTGCCAACAGGTGATGGCCACGCACCACCCTTCCACCTCAAGTGGAAAAACATCAGGTGCCAGCAGGCCCAGAGAGATGAGAGACCAAGATCACGCCAGCTTCCTGCCTGGAACCACTCTGATGCAGTGTGGCAGGGGAGGGTGTTCCCAAAGGCAGGGAGTCTCCCCGAGTTACAGAGATGGAGGTGAAGCTTGTGGAGGCCAATTAGCTTAAGTTGGCAGGGAAGAGCACCAAGGGCATTGGAGGGACTGGAGAGAGGGCAGGGCCAGCCTTCGGGACAGTTGCAGCGGGTCACCCTTACCGAATCTTCAGCTAAGTCCTGACCATGCCCATGTGTGAGGAAATGACCACAGGTGGGAAAGGCCTGCCTGAAGAGGGCAGTGGGACCATCCATGGAGCTCGTAAGGCTGGAGCCAGTGAGAGTGAAAAACCCTGTAATTCGCGGGGCACTGCCTACTCAGAATAGAAGTGCCTTAATCGTGTGATAAAGCCATGCCTAGACAAGGCTCACCTGGCCCTCTCCAAAAAATCCTAAGATTAAGACTTCAATGGACTAAACTCATTAAGCAATGCCACCAGGTCCCAGAATACTTTAAAAGTACAGGAATATCTAGTACCCAGCAGGGTAAAATCCACAATGCTTGGCATTTGATAAAAAATCACCAGGCACACAAAACCAGCCAACAAGCCAATGAACCAACCAACCAACCAACCAACCAACCAACCAACCAACCAACCAACCAACCAAC